TAAAATATATTTAATTTAAATATGTTCATAGTTATATCAAAATGTAAGTGAAAAATATTGAATTTTAATACAACCACTCTTGGATGAAAATCAATGGCATAAATATTAAAATCTATGTGAAAATATTAAAGTTTCAGGGCTTTTTTCTATCGGTGTACAGGTGCAGTTGTGCAGCACTGGGAATTAAATCCCCCCACTCAAGATGCATTTTCGTGTTTGCCAGTGTTGGCTAGGCTTTGGTCCATTCGCTGTTTGCCAGTGTTGGAATGTGTCCCTGCTGTTTGTTGCTGTTTTCTTTTTGTTGTATTTGCTTGGAGAAAGTGGCTGCGCACAACTAATCCGATTAAATTAAATTAGATTAGATTACTTCTCTGCTCTCATCGAAGCCTTCACAAAACAAAAGAAAATAAAAGCCCATTTCTGCATTATGTATGTATGCATGTACACACACACACACACATGCATAAATACATACATACATACACATGTGTATGTATGCTTTGATATGTCCTCGAATTGCCTCTTGAGCTGAGGCTTGCGAGGGCTGCACATAAAGTTTGTTAATGAGCTGATGGCTGAATCGTAAACTGAAACTGAATTTCTGCATTGATGCGAGTGCTGGGAGTGTCGTCGATCTGACCCCGCATGGCCTGCATTTGAGCGATGGCAAATGTTGCATTTTGCATTTACTTCGCACAATAATAATTGGATGTTGCTCGTTGCATTCGTTGCACGTTGACGACGGTCCAAGGCCAGTGCGAGGGGCAATGCATACACACAAATCCATCCGAATATATTTCATATGTAAATAGAAGCAGCACACTCTCTGTCGTCTGGCCTTTGAATGGATTGCACTTTAATTAAATCGAATACGAAATAGTCGATGTGCACAGTTCTCCCTCCCTCTCTCTCGCAGTCTCTCTGTCTCTCTGTCTGTCTGTCATTCCTGTTGGTTGAGGGGCATGGCATGGCATGGCCTGTTCTTCACGCTGAATGCGTTGAATTTTGATGCCAATTGAATGGCCTCACTCTGCGCTCCATTCGGTGGTCGGGTCAAGTTCGGGGGAATGTTGAATGTTGCCAATCACAAAGGATACACATCTCCCCGTACAGAGGCTACAGCAGCGGCGTTTAGTTTTCCGTTTGCTTAATTAGGAAAGTTTCCGAAAGACGACACCAAAACCAGCATCGCAGTAGGCAGTAGGCGGAGGCTTTCAGGAGGATGCCACGCGGCCAAGGAGGGGTGCTGCCACTCGCACCTCGCCCATGGTGATGGGGATGGGGATGGGGCTGGGGTTGGGGTTGGGGTTGGGGGATGCAAGTGTGCAGACCTTGAGACACAAAGTAAAGTTGTTGGCTGTCGCTTCTGGTTGTCACTCGCTAAACGTTGTTGTATTTGTCTCGTTGTTTTTGCCTTTGTCGGCATGTACCTCGTCGTCGTGTCCTCGTCCTCTGTGCGCTGTTCCGCATCGATGAGCGTGAGGGAAATCAGTATTAATTACTTGACTCCTTGTTGGTTGCACGGGTTACACGGCAGACGGACAGGCGAACAGGCGAACAGGCGAACACATGGCGGAGGTGTCTGTAGGTCTGTAAGTCTGTGTTCTCTGTCCCGTGTCCCGTGTCCCGTGTTGTGTCTGGCTCCCTATCCCCATTAACCATTCTTTCTTCTCATTCCTCCCATTCCTGCCCATTCTCCTCGTTCAAGTAATGAGCAAGCCAGTTCAGATGGAAAGTGATTTATACACACGTGGAGGAGAATCAGCAGCAGCAGCAGCAGCAGGAGCAGCAACACAGGCAGCAGCAGCAAGTGAGCAGCATTCGAAAGAATGAAGTAATGAAGTAATGAAGTAATGAAGCCCTGGACTCTCGCGCAGATCATGAACCATTTGAGTAATGAGTGAATCAGTTTCGCAGATTCCTTCGCCCGCCCCCCTCCTCCATGGATAAGACTCCAATGAAAGAAATCCGATAGCACACAGCAAACAGCAAACAGAAAAGTTGTTTGAACAAATCGTTTCGAAGAGGAACCACTTCCACTTCCAGTTCAACTTCCAGTCAACAGTCATCAAGTTCAGTTACAGTCACAGTCACAGGCCCCATACTCCCATCCTCCTACCCTCTTTGATAACTTTTGCTGCTGGGTGGCAGACAGATCTGTCGCCTAATGACCAAGTAAATCGCTCTGCTGAACAGAACAGAGCAGAACAGAGCAGGGAACAGAACTTCTTCAGAGAATTCAAAGCTCTAAGTGGGCTGTGATTGATGCAGTGCAGCCGCAAAGCCCGCACCCTCACCCTCTTCCCACTTCCTCCTTCCTTCGCACTCCGCCTGTTCGGATGGAAGAAAAGTTTGCTGCCTTTTGATTCTGTGGCGTGGCTGATGGGCTGGAGGATGACGAGTGCGGGGGGATGCCCCCCCCCCCCCAATTGTATCCAATTGATGAGTCCAAAAGTCATTCCCTAAGCTAGATAAGGTCTTCCCTTTCTTCGCGACTTCCTTCCACTGGAGGACGGGTGCTCCTATCCACAGCAGAAGCCAGAAGGAGGGACAGCAGCAGCAAAGCCAGCCACAAGCCGCGACAGGCTGTCTATCAACATTTTAAGCTAATTAAAAAACACACACACACACAGAGAGCACACACAGGGACGAAGGGATGGCAGTGGCAGTGGAAGCCACATCAAATGAGCGAACGATCTGCAGAGGCAGCGGCTGTGGCAGTGGCAGTGGCTGTGGCAGCGCCAAATAGAATTATAACTTTGCATGCGGCAACGCGACTAATTGACAAATGGATAGGGCTAATCCTGGTCCATGGATGGGGAGCTAATTCAACAAGTGGATGCTCCACACATCCAGCTCCATCAGCATCCCCATCCCCATCAGCATCACCATCTCCGAGTGAATCAGAGCGGAACGGAAATGGATTCGGCGGAGAATGGAGCACACACTGCAATTGCAGTTGTCGGGTGCCATGGGAGGGAGCACGCTTGGGGGACTTGGGGGACTTGGGGGGGCGGGCTTGTAAATCATTGAGCGTCATAATAGACTCACTCAGCAGACACTGCCGCACCAGCACCAGCACACACAGGGCGGTAAGTGGGGTGGTAAGGGGCAGACCAGATAGGGACTTGGCCCAAAAACGGTGCCAGCGCTGCACATGCTCGTATGAGTGCAGGCTGCGTCCAAAAACGTTAGCACACATAGATAAAGCCGTCGCGTTGCAAGCAAAAAAAAAAACTACCCCGATTCCTGCAGCGGGGAGAGAGGTGGAGCCTGCCAAATGGCATGTTTAAACAAAATTAAGAGCGAGCCGCCAACAGTTGCCGCCATTCAGAGGCAGCTCCAGTGGCAGCTTGGCAGTGCCAGTGCCAGTGCACGTTGCACGTTGCACGGGTCATCAAACCGAGCGGCCATGCAGCTGAGTGCTGGTGCTTGTGCTGGAGCCTGGCGCCTGGCTACTGGCGACTGCAGTGGGTACAGGGTGCCCAACAAGCAAAAGATATTCCTTTGAAATTTCCATGTCGCAATTTCGTTTTAAAATTGTTGAACAATTCAATTTGTGGGCCCAGGGCCCAGGGCCCTTTTCCTGTCTCTCTCGAGCACGGGGGGGCAGGGCACCCTGTTCCCTGTTCACAAATATTTTCGGCAAGTGAAGAAAAATTAGCTACAATAAATTGACCGGAAGTTGCCGCCCAAATTGAAAGAATCCAAACGGTGGGGAGGATTGGGAGTCTGCCCACAAAAAGCAGGAAAGCGGAAGACCGGAAGACCAGCGAAAGAGCCTCTCGGGGAGCCTCTCGGCAGCCCAATGTGGGCGTGGCATGTTTGTCTGCGGCTGCTCCTGTGGCAGGAGCATTTGTGTGTGTGTGTGCGGTACGTGCCAGTCAGTCATCGTGGCCTGAGTCCGTGTGGTGTCTCCGTCTCCTTAATCGTGTGTGCGCTGGTGTCTGCCTAGATTGAAATTCCTTGGGCAGAAAACGGCGGAACCGACGCCAGCAATGGGCCCGGTCCATCCCAAGGCTGTTTGTGTTCCTGTGCCCGTGCCCCCCACCGCAGACAGACGTTGCATACAGATTTTCAATTTACATATCATGTGGGCTGGCCCCCACCCACCGCTTGCAGTGCCTGAAGTCTGCTGGCTGGCTGAACCTTTGCTGGATTCCTTTTGGCAATTTCCGCCACAAAATGCTGAATGCTGAATGCTGAATACTGAATACCGAATCGAAGAAAAACAAAGCAAACTGCAACACAAAACCCAAAGCCAGAGGCAAAGGCAAAGCCAAAGCCAAAGCCAAACGTAGCGAAACCAAACTTAAACGTAAACTATTGTGGCACAGCCGCAGCAGAACAATGAGTGCACAATGAAACGAGTGAATGGATGGAAAATGCAGATGTACGTGTAGCTGGGTGTCCCTTGGGGCGCCACAGCAGGCAGGACAGGCCACAAAAGTGTCACCAGTCGCCTGGCTTCAGCCCCGCGGCAATCACTCGAACGGATCCTGCGTCAGAGTCGCAAGCGAATCAAAACGATATTTCCATTTTTGTCGGCTGCCTTAGCCTTTCCCGTCTTTCCCTCCTTAGCTGTCCGTCTGCCCGTGTCCCTGTCCCTGTCCCTGTCCATCGATGTGACGTGCATAACTTGACAAAAACTTGCCCCAAACCGCAGACACAGTGGCAGAGGCAGGGACTGAGGCAGTGGCATCGTTTTGCATATGTAACTGGGAGCGCAAGCATAGACGTCAATTGTCTGCTTCAACAACTTTTATTGCCACAAATACCCGACCCGAACCCTTTGCAGACTATTTCATGCATGGGGAATAGAGACATTTGCCAGCTATTCCCTCTTGTGTGTTGCTCCAGAGTCCAGAGAGTCCTGTCGGCTCGCATGGATATTCGAAGCTTCTCTGTCTGTCTCTCCCTCTCTTGTTAGCCGTTTGTTTTTGTTTGTTTTCTGTTGGCCAACTGTGCAACTAAACACATTTCTCTCGTGTCCGTTACAGGTGATTAGAAAATGTCATCCACTGATCTGCATGCCGGCGGTGCAGCGGCCGATGACTACCATCTGGCCGCGAGCACCTCGGGCGGTGGTGGCGCTGGCGCTGGCGCTGGCGATGGCGGTGGCGGCGGCGAGAAGCTGAAGGATATGCCGGAGAAGTACGTGATGGCGATTGTCAATTTCCTGGACTGGCACGTGAACGCAACGGCCGACATGGAGCGGCTCAACCTCAAGGCGAGCATCAAGTCCGTCTACTGGCTCTTTCTCATCCAATACGCGGCGCTGGCCCTGCTGGGCGTGATCCTCAATATAGCCATTATCGTGTACGTCATGTACCATCGCCTCTACAAGGACGTCACACACTCATTTCTGATCAATCTGGCGCTGTGCCACTTTGTGCAGTGCGCCCTGGTGCTGCCCGTCTCGCTGATGGTGATGCTCATCCAGAACTGGATCTTCGGGCAGTTCCTCTGCTTCTTTCTGCCCATGCTACAGGTAAGTAGTGGCAAGTGTCCATGCTGCAAGAACCCTCGTGGGTGGAAGTGGAAGTGGAAGTGTCCGCCCCACCACCATTTGAGGGCTGGCTGAGTGGAAATGGCATCCGGTTGCGCTCAATTGAGCAATCATTGGTATATCGAATCAGGCAAAGCCCCTGCCCCCAGCCTTCGATGTGGATGTGAATGTGGATGCCTCACCTCATTATTGAACACCCGCCGTGATTGACTGACGATTCACAGGAGGGGGGGTGGGGGGTGGTAGGGCACGGCACAGGCTCACAAATTACAAGCAAATAAAATCATATACCTGGCTTTTATTCCCAGTGCCCTGCCACAGCCTCAGCCACTGCCACTGCCCTTGCCTTTGCCTTTTTTGTGGCAAGGAAATAAATAAATAAATAACGCCAAACGTCCAGAGGGGAGCGCGGGCCCAAAATGGATTCGATAGGCCACATTTCGGGCGGGGCAACTCCTCCATCAGGCGAGAGAGACCCTCACATGGTGTGGAGCAGCCAAATGATTACATTTATAGCCTTGACGCTGCAGGAGATTCTATTACGAGACGGCGGCGGAGGCGGAGGCGGAGGTCACAGGCAGATCGAAATGGGAATGGAGCTGCCGCCGCCGCAGGAGGGGTATCAGAACGGGATATGATTCGATTTGATTGTTATCACAAAAGAGCGACAAATAGCTCTCACACAACAGGCAGAGGCACAGGCAGAGGCAAGGGCAGAGGCAGAGGCACAGGCAGAGGCACAGGCAGAGGCAAGGGCACAGGCAGAGGCACAGTCAGAGGCACAGGCAAGGGCAGGCAGGCAGCCGACACACAAAGGCACTTCACGGGCATCGGGGGCAGGGGCAGCATCGTAGCATCGTGTGTGTGTGTATCCCCCCGCCCTTGCTGGCGTAATGATTGATGGGTGGAGCCGTGGAAGGGCGGCAGATGCCGCAAGTCTGACAAGTTGCATTAAATTTGTGACTTAAAGTCGACAAATGGGAGTAGTTCTTTCACTTCTACTCTGAGACATTGAGATGCTGACATGAGTTGAAAAATAAGCGCTAGAAATTGCGGGCGCGTATTGGCTGCCAGGTTTACACACACACCACGAGTGCACACACACCCATCTGTAGCATGTAGCATGTAGCCTGTAGCATGTAGCATATGTAATGTATTTGATCTCTTTTGCAGGACATTCCGCTGCACGTGGCCATGATATCGCACATCCTGATTGCCTGGGATCGCATGCGCTGGCTCAACGATCCGCTGAAGGGCCGCCTGCCGGGCTTCGTCTGCTGCTGTGCCACCTGGCTGACTGGAATGGTGATTGCGCTGCCCTACCCCATATACACCTTCTACGTGGAACTGGGGGTGAGTACGGGGGGGATGTCCCTGCTGTGGGGTTTGTGGGAGGAGGATTGTGGTGGGAGGAGGGGCCCAAGGCGTTGCTCGATTGAAAATTAAACTTCGCCATGGCGACGCGGCCTCAACCGAAGATCAAAGCGAGTGCACTAGACCATAAAAGCGCCAAAGACTCCTCCACCTCCATCTCCATCTCCACCAGACGCGCAATCGCATATATACATATGCTCGAACATATGTGAACAGGCGGCAGGCACCTGACAACGGCTTAAGTGGGCCAAATTCCACGGAAATTGACTTTTGGGGGTGCTAGTTCGCTCCGTGAACCGTGAACCGTGAACCAGTTCGCTCTGAGTCGCTCTTCTGCTGCGGAGCTGCTCTGCCCATTTTATTTTTATTTTATAAATATTTTATTTCATTTATTTTTATTTATTATTGATTTTATTTATTATTTATTTATTATTTATTATTTATTTATTTATTTATGTATATTTATTTATTCTTTATTTATTTTATTTATTATTTATTTATTATTTATTTATTTATTTATTATTTATTTATTTTTAATTTATTTATTCTTTATTTATTTATTTATTATTTATTTATTATTAATTTATTATTATTTATTTTTATTTATTTTTTTTTTTATATTTTTATTTGTATTTTTTAATTGCCATTTTTAGGTTATTATTTTGCATTTTTACAGTTTTTCATGTGGAAAAAACTGAAAATGTGAATATTTTTGTTGTGTATGGAAAATAGCTGCAAGTCCCTTGGCTCTGCTTAGTCCAGCAGAATCTCTTCCAATTTGCTGACACCAACACTGGCACTCGCCTGAGACTGGCAGTCTGGGGAGGACTGGGAGATCTGGGAGGTCTGGGGAGGTCTGGGGAGGTCTGCGAGTCTGGGCCTCAATTCCAAACTCGTTAACATGCCCTGTCAACGTGGTCTGTGCTGTCCTGTGCTGTGCTGTGCTGTGTGTTTGCCTGTCGGCCTGCATTTTGTTGCCAAAATATTGTGCTACATTGACTCTGCCTCTCCCTCCCTCTTTGGCTGTGCCTGTGGCCTGACTGCCTCAAAGTGCGCCCACAAGAGCAACAAGAGGCATAAATATTTATGGCCCATAAAGTGTTGCACCTTTTTGATACACTCACTCTCTCCTGCTCTCTCTCCTGCTCTCTCTCTCTACGTGTAGCAGCCTCTCAACCTGCCCCTCAGGGCTCGTGGTTGGCATTGTGTCAAGTCATCACTTGCATGTGTGTGTGTGTGTGTGTGTGCCACTCCTGCCCCCCTTCTCATTGCCTTGCATATTTTATAACATCTGTGGGACCTTTTCTCGAGAGCCGAGCCAAAAACACTCCGAAGGAAGTCCACCCAAATGGCTCCAGCCTTAGCATTGATGAAGATCGCACATTTGTAGCCTCGCAGAGCGAGTCCCGATGGATATCACACATCCCTGACTTCCTGATTTCCGTCCGTGATGGAGAAACCCAAAGTGCAGGTTGATTGAACCCTTAGCAATCATTTTGTATAATTTTTGTGGCAATTCAGTGAACGCTGGAGCCCATAAAAACTGTCAGGCAACAAGTGGGGGAGGGTCCCACCCAACCCAGCGCTGTCCATGATGATGATGATGATGATGATAGCCCGCATAGGTGCATGGCCCCAAAAGTTTGGTTTGGGGCTGCCGCCTGGCAGCCTGGCAGCCTGGCTGCCTGGTAACACGCTCACTCGCCTGTCAATAATTTCATTAATTCAATATTTGCGTATAATTTGATGGCTCCTCTCCAAGGCTCAGCAAGGCGCTGCCGGAGGAGGGCTTATTATCTCTGTTTGGGGCATGGAGGTCTCCCGCTGCCGCCTGCCCCGTGCCTGAGCCCAAGTTTGTGGCAATTTATGAATATTTTAGCATTCTATTACGGACACACCCACTTGCCCCAAAGAGTGGAGAGTGGCAAGTGGGGGAGCGTGTGAATGGGGAGTGGGGAGTGGGGAATGGGGAGCATGTGCATACACGAGAATATCTGTGGTACTATATGAACAATTCCATGAGGACTCTGATTGCCAATTCACAATTTGGCAGGCTGTTCCACAAATCTTCCCAGGCAACGATTCTCCATTTAATAAGGAAAAGTTTGCCATACTTTGGCCCCAGACCCCCATCTCGCTCTCCCCCTTACTCTCCCTCTCTCTCTCTCAGGCTATCTTTATGGCCCAAAAGTCAAACACTAAAATGAATTGCTTCAGATAGGTTCAGTCCAGTCCAGTCTAGTCCTGACCTGTCCCTGCCCCTCCCTATCCCTGTCCCTGTCCCTATCCCTGTCCCTGCTCGTTCCGTTCCGATTCGGTTTGGGTTCAGCTTCAGTTGGGTCCTCCGTCTGTCTACGTCTGTGTCCACGTGGGAGCCTGGTATTTCCAGGTAATAAGCGTTGAGGCTGCCATAACTGGCCAGCGAAACTTTTCTGTTTGTTTTCGTGTTTTCGTTTGGCCTGGAAAAGTGTCAGAAACTTTTCCACAAAACAAATTGAAATTTTTCCATATTTCTACGCAGTGCCACCCAGCACTCCCCCCGTGGCACCGCCAGAAGCGGCTTCGGTTTCGGCTTCCCTTTGTGCGGCGGCAAATTGATTTTTTAAGTTGTCCCCAAACAAATCAGAGTGGAAAAATAAAATCTCTTTGCCTCCATCAAGTAGAGCCGGTTGCCGGTCGCCGGTCGGCCCTTCCTGCCAAACAAATGTGACTCGGGGAGGGGGCCACTCCTGCCCCAAGTACTGTCCAGAATCAGCTTTGGCATGCAGACTCGGGATAGGGGAAATTTGAACAGCCGATCTGATCTGATTCGTCTGACAAATTCCTTTCGCCAGCCAAAGATCTGAAGATCTGCAGATCCCTGATCCGCGAATGAAGGCAGAACGCTGCGGAAAGGCCGCCCTCTCTGAGAGGCAGTCTAAGAGGATGGCCAGAGGACACACCGAAGCACCGTCTATGCCTCTCTGTGCTGCTAAAATTTGTTTATGTTTACTGTTAAGCTGTTGCGCCTTTCGTCTCTCTTGCATCCCTGCCGCTGCCCGCTGCTGTTGCCACTGCTGTTGCTGCGGATATCCGCTTGCCGGCGTTGACTTTGGCACGCGCCTTCCCCTAGTCCCCTAATAACCATCCCCATTCCCATTCCCATCCCCAATCCCATTTCCTATTTGCCACTTCCATCCTTATGCCCCATTTCCATTTGCCCATCAAGCAGGATGGAAGGGCCCCCGCTGTGGCTGCCATGAACGAGCGGATTAGCAGCGAAAGTTGGCCCGGATATGCGCCTGCAAGACGAAATTACATGAAAACTCAAGTCACTGCGCAAAAGAAACGTCCAGAGTAAACATTATCCGGGCCACGGCAGAGTTCCGGTGCCCCTGCAATGCCATTTGAGCAGCATTCAAGGCCCCACTGGACAGCCGCCACTGCTGTGGGATATGCCAGAGTGCCAGGGTTACTGCTGAGCTGCTCTTCTGATGCATGCCCGAAATGAGTTATATGTATCTTTTTGGCTGTATATCTGCATGCCGCGTCAGCCTGCGGCTAGGGCATACAGAAGTTGGTAGTTTTTCCTCGATTTTCCCCCATTTCCCTTGTTTCCCTTGCTGCTGCTGATGTCGAGGCCTGCGGGGTCGTTCCTTTGCCGTTTATCTGGCGTGGAAAAAAGTAACTTTAAATACAATCAACTGGCCCCATTTGCCTTGGCTTTGGGCTCGTTGTAACAATTTATAAAAATTACACACACACACGCGCACACACGCGCACACACAGGGGAGGGGGCAGGCATAAATGAGACTTCCGCCTTAACCGGAAATCAAAGGGTCCTTTGGCTTCGCTGGGGTCTGTCTCTGGCTCTGGCTCTGGTTCTGGCCTGACTTTGGTCGGGTTGGCTCACCGGTCTCTGGGTCTCCTGGTCTCTTGGTCTCTTGGTCTCTGGGTCTCTTGGTCTCTTGGTCTCTGGGTCTCCTGGTGTCTGGCCCTGTGCTGCATTCACCTCGGGACTCGGGGCATTCGTGTGGTGCCTTGTTGCCTGTCCTGGCCTGTCCTGTATATTTCTCCATCTTCACTGCCTCTGGCTCTGCCTCCATCTTCATCATTATTGCATATTATGAATGTAACTTTGTTAGCAGCCAGTTTGTCTGTGTCTGTGTCTGTGTCTGAGTGTGTGTGTGTGTGTGGGTTCTGGCCTCTCCGCCCTCCCTGCCTCACGCCATCTCTATGTCTAGGGATGTGCGTGCGTGTGCGTGTGTGTGGGGGGGTACGTGTGTAAGACTTATTAAATTGCCATTTACTAGGACACAACGAGCCATGCAAATTGCTCCATTGTCAAAGAGAATTAGTTGATGTGTTCAACTAGGGGTCAAAGGGTGCCGGAACAGAGCAGAAGAGCTGCAGGGGAGGATGGGCGTGGGCGTGGGCTGATTGCATGGCTGAAAGGGGGGTCTTTCAGCCCTCGTTCCGCGTTCCTCATGCTTATCGGCAGCAACTGCAACTGCAACTGAACTGCCACTGCCACTGCATCTCCCCCCAGGCTGTGCAGCAGAGCAAATCAGCAAATGGAAGCTGAATAGAGCAACATCAGTCAATCAATCAAGCGGAATGAAGACGCAGCAGGAGCACAAGATGTTGCCCCCAAGTCCAAGGAGATCTCTGCGCCCCTCTCTTGCCTCTCTCTGCCCGCCAGATGATTGGCATTTTCAGTAATTGAAAAAGGAGCACAAACGGCAGACGTAAATTTATTTGCGCACCAATCGGCACTCAAGCGAAGCCAAAACACGCCAGCAGATGGACTCGCCGTGCCTGTTAGGGCATTAAATGTTCTTATTGGGAAATCGCGAGATTATCCCCAAGCATGCCACAAGGGAAATGGGAAATGGGAAATGCCAAGCAAACTGCAAGTTCCACCCACTGCCGACTGCCGACTTAATTTCGGTTTCGATTTCGGTTTTAATTTTGATTTTGATTTTGGAGTTTGATTTCGT